ATCCCCAATCCTAATAAGATTACAGAAGAACAGCCAAGAAGTTCCAAAATGAAAACATATGCTGGAACACGAATCTTTAATTTGGAATTATATACAGCAGATACTCTATCTGTGTAAAGTTCAAAGTGTCTAAAAATATCACAGATAAAAATGGCAAGCAAGCTGGCATTCAGGAAAACACATTTTTGACCTTCATTTCAACCGTTTGAGGAGAGATTGCCACAATACGGTGAGAAGAAGAAAGCAATACAATAACAAGCGTCATCAATCCTACTATTTTACTTTAATATCCCAACGTGCATGTGATAATGTTTCTGCTGCTGCCACAGGACTGCAAAATTGCGACCGAACACAGTGGGTAAAAGTAAATAACTAAATGTTTTTAATTCTCAAGGTTTGCAAGATTAGGTGAGATTTCTTGGAGGCAACCTTCCAGTTTATTTAAAAGCAGGCTCTCAGCCAGCCTTTGCGTGCCCACCAGAGGGCAGGGCCACTCAGCAGAAGGTGAAAGCTTTCCAACACAGCGCAGACCATGTTAACAAAAGCTGCTTTTATTTCCTGAAAAGGTAATTTAATACTTAGTGCTCTCTTTGTAAATGCTCTAGATAGAAAGAGATTTACAATCAGCATACGGAGACCAGTGCTATCTTCTCACCTGGAAATTATTTCAGATAGCCAGAAAGACAAGACATTCTCCAGCTTATCAACCTTCTTATTGTACAGTGAAATTACATTTTTTAAAGTAGTAAAGACCCCACATTTTTCAATTATTAAAACAAAAAAGTGTTACTTTTAACAACAGGGTTTAGACATTGTACAGTGACCACAACAACAGACCTATTAAACTATTGATGGAAGTTATTACTGTTCAGTTTACTAAATTGCAACATAAAAAAAATCCCAAAATCTCCTGAACCCGGAAACAAATGCTTGCCCTTTGCCAACGCTTTTCTGATGCGCTTCCAGTCCATCGTCTTCACTGGCTGTTGAAATTCCTCCTCTGGAAACTCCATCAGTATCTGCATGAACAGTGGAGTCGTGGAGGTCATTGGTGATTCGTTGTACCTCATTCTTTGCTTTGAGGTTTTTGGCCTCGCTCCTAAATCCGAAAAGGAAACTTGAGGATCCTGTTGATATATCTTTTTGGCTGTATCCAAAGAATGCAAGAAGCTTTTTGCCGCTTCCGCTGCTGACAGCATCCACGCTGGAACACCTTCCGATGCTGTAATCCGTATGATGTCCTCTCCTTGTTGCTGTGCTTCATCTAAATTTTCTTTGTCTTCGCGAAATCCCGAAGTTGAAGGATAATCCATTTGTTGCGTTGTCATTGTTTTCTTAGATGTACCAAAAACTACGTGTAGGATATTTACCTTTTCCTCCCAATACCTTTCACTCTTATTGACAAGTGCACATTCAGTAAGAACCAATCTCAAAGTGCCACCATCACCACCAAAGATGGATGACAAGAAGAAGAAGAAGGACAGGACACACCCTAATTCCTCCATCTTGTCTCCTAGAACCCCCCTGTACTGAGATTCTAAAACCCGTGTTTTCACTCTATAATTAATCTATCCCTTCACCACTTATCCCCGTGTGATCCTCCCATCCTCATACAGGTGTTGCGTCCAGTGCAGGATCAAAGTCCAGCCACCAGACACTTCTGGCAACGTTCCAGGACTTCTGAGCCCCCCCAAGGGTTGTCTCGGCAATTCTGGACATCAGGACTGCTGTGCTGAGTTCCCACAAGTAATTGCTATGTGATCAGAAGCACTAATGTGTATTTTTCAGCATTCCCATTCAAATCTGCATGCTGAAATCTGTTACTGAAGAAAAAACAAATGCTTCAACATTCTTCTCTGCCAAAGACATGTGGGATATGAAATGAGGCAATCAGGCAGTAACTAGAAGAATTTAAGCCCTTTTAAGGCAGCTACAGAAGGAAAGTGTCTGATGAAGGAACAAACCCATTACAAAAGTCTATTTTAAGAGCTCAGAAAGTGAACTATACCCCTTGGGGGGATAGATGACTCACTCAGAAGGTAACAGCAGAGATTTACCTTGGAAAAATTATGGCTCCTTTCCTACTGTTCTAAAGACAGCATTTTTTCTTAGTAGCTTCTTTATTCTTTTCTAAATACAATAAAATATAGTGAAGGTAATTTACCAGAAGCTCAAACCGCTGCTACACTCAATAACCAGAATATTTCTTGAAGAAATGTATCATTCCTGAAAAGCAGAAAATGAAATCCCAGTTGCAGCAAACCTTCCCTTCCTCTTACTGACCTGCTATTTAGGAATTCAGCTATAAAAATAAACTTGGTGCTTGCTTTGGAGGAAATACTGCAGGTGGGAGAAATTAAATCATTGAGAGCCAGCAGAAAATGTTTCTTTTAGTCAGTTTGATTTATGTAAAGACTGAAAGAATTGATTAGAAGTGCATAAAGAATTGTTGATTTGAATAAACAATTCCTTGATGATTTGATTAAAACCTGAGCATTCTTTGTGTACAGTGTTGATCTGTAAAAAAGCAAAGCATATATGGATTACAAACACCTGAACTCTCATTATGCCTCTAACATGAAAAATTAGTGTAAATTTGTTGAAAAGAGTAACTATGTTTTTTTAACGAGTGAATAGTCCTTATTTTGAGATGATCTTATTGTTGGAGTTAAACATTAAGTGTTACACTTTATCTGTTCATCTTCCACAATTACATGGCTTGACAAGCCATGTGTTGCTGCAGTGGTGATAATTACTATATTGCCTGCATATCATTTACGGTGCTTTGACCCCTGTTTGTATAAACAGCTGTATTTTTGTCTTCCAAAGGTCAGAGATGTAGTGAGAATTGTATCTTTTTCTATTCATTTTGCGGTCTACATGACACTGACACTGTGAAACTGCAAGTTAGCAAGGATTATTTAGATGAGTACACTTCCTATTTCTCGTATTTCCTTCCTGTTTTCTGCTATTAAAGGGAAGAAGTGAAAGCCACTTCTCTCAGCATAAACCAGTTTACTTCATGATGAGGGCTCTAAGGGCTTCATGGATTCCCTCTGAAAACCTCTGTCCACCTCCTTTAAGAACTTTTTCAGAAACACTGCTTAGAACTTCCAGCTGCTCATGCTGATTTTGGACGATTATTCCCTCTAGAAACATGTTGTTTGCGTTTCTGGCCCATATTAATAAACAGAGATCTTTGCAATTAAAACAAAAAAAAAAGTCAAAGACTTTTGTTTTTCAATACTTTATTAATAGGTGTTTGTTATTGGAATTATGAAGGCTGATAAACTACTACCTCACTCAGCCTGTATCAATTTTATCTGGAAGCTAGGACTGGGATTATAGTCCATTTCCTATTTTTTATAGTTTGCTTGCACTTTTTACAAAAATCTTGTACTCCTGTGGTAGCAAAAGCGTAAGTCTAGAGTTAGTAAGAATGAGGAAAAGACTTAACTGGTACTGGGTGTCTGAAGAATTGTCATTGCTTGCAACACATGATCCATTGCTGCAAAGAGTGATCAGCAAATAGGAGCAAGCTGTGTTAGTTTTGTGTGAATCATGACCATATTTTAATGTTAGTAATAGCATTAAATTCATTATATTCCGTATACATTCATAGAATTACATTAATCATAAACTGAAACATTACATTCATCATAAACTCAACAGGTAACACAGAAGACAACATGAAGCCACTTCGTGCTCTGACATCATGCCTGGCCCATCGCAGTCTACAAAGGCTGCTAAATGTCTCCTTTTACAAAGCTGAGGACAGAGGGCCCTTTCCTCAGGTTCCTTCCATCTCGGTGTGTCTCAGAAGCAGAACTCGTCTAGGTGAACTCAGCCCTGTCAAGCCCCCCTCAGCAGGGCGCTCGGGACGCATCACCGTTTGAACATGCTACAGAAAAAAACGCAACATTGTCAGTACGTTTTCAAGGCTATTTGCTTGGACAACTTTTAAAATGTAGATGTTTTAAAGAGGCGCTGAGACAGCTTTAACCTTCTATCCGCGGTGCTCCAGCTCCCGGGCAGGTGCCCTCATGCTCCCGAGCGGCAGAGCCCCGCGGTAAGAGAAGGAAAACCGGGGCACCAGTGGCAGAAGGCGGATCCGGTGGCAGAAGCCGAAGCATCAGGAGGGAAACTATCAGGAGGGGAAGCATCAGGAGGGGCTGCCGAGCGGCGCCCCAGGTGTGGCGGGGCCGTGGTTTCGCTATGCAAAGCCGCCCACCGCAGCCGCACCCCGCCTCACGCCGCTGCCCGGGCGGCTCCGAGCGGCATCGAAGAACGGCTGCAGAGCGTGAAAAAACCCTGCTATTTATGAATCAGTGTAGGGGTTTTTTTCTGCCTTGGGAAGACTGAGGGGATACTTCAGGGAACGACAGAATCAAGTTGGAAAAAACCTTGGAGACAACCGAGTCCAACTTGTAATTCAATACCACCACGTCAACCAGACCATGGCACCAAGTTCCATTTCCAGTCTTTCCTTAAACATCTCCAGGGACAATGACTCCACCACCCCTCTGGGCAGCCCATTCCAATGGCTAATGGTTTCTGTGAAGAAATTCTTCCTAATGTCCATGGCAGTCTCTAGCTCCCTCACGAGGGGAAGCGGAGGGGCAGGTACCGATCTCTTCACCCTTATGGCCAGCAACAGCGAGTCAGAGGAGGTTCAGGACGGATACCAGGAGGTTTTTCACTCAAAAGATGGTAGGGAACTAAAACAGTCTCCCCAGAGAGGTGGTCACAGCACCAAGAAGCGTTCGGACAACGCTCTCAGGCACAGAGTATGACTCTTGGAGTGTCCTGCGCAGGGCCAGGAGCTCGAGTCGATGTCTTCTGTGAGTCTCTACAAACTCGGGACTTTCTGTGACCCTGTAAAATCTCCTTTCCAGCACCACGATCCCTTTCCCGCCCCTCAGGGGAGGCGGGAACGAGCGACAACGGGGACAAAGGGCCGCGTCTCCTTTAAAGCCGCCCCCCACCACCCCACGTGAGCGGCCCGGGGCGGGCGTTCCGAGCCGCGTCAGTTCCGCTTGTGTTGCGCTGCGGAGGAGCCACGCGCGGAGCAGGACGTGAGTGCTGGGTCCCCTTGCGTGCCCCCGCCACGCCGCCATTTTCTCTTGCGCGCCCCTTCCCACGACCCCCGCTACCGCCGCCACCGCCGCGGCACCTTCCGGCCCGATCGGGACAGCCGCGGACCGGTGGCGGCAAGGCGAGGCTTCCCCTTGTTCCTCGAGTGCCCGCGGTGCCCAGCGGGGGGGATACCCTGCTGTGGAGCGGGAGGAGCGAACCGCCGCTGCCGAGGGGGAGCTGCCATGTTGGGGGGCACAGAGTCTGATAGAGGGATAAGATGGCGCCCGGCCGCGCTCCCCCCGGCGCCGGGGGCCGGGGGTAGACCCGGCCCGCCGGCGACCCCGTGCCCGCTAGTTTCCGTGCTGCTCTTTTCGCGCACTCAGCCGCGGGTAACCCGCAGTCCCTTCGCTGCCGCCCTACCCCGGGAAGAATTGGACGTTCTCGCCCGCCCACCCCCTGGCCCCCCCACCCTTGTTTGGGTCTCGACTCTTATCTTCGGGGGGCGACACGAGCCGTTGAAAAGAGGAGTAGGGGAGGAAAATGGCGGCTGGGATCCGCCTACCTGGAGTTCCAGATTCGTCTTCCTTTCCTTACCTTTCCCTGGTCTCCTTTGGTTTGGCTCATCCCGTCCCCCTCGCCGGCGCTGCGGTGTCTCCTCACGCTCGGCCTCTCCTGGGGAGCACCCAACACCCCACATCCCTTTTTCCTCCACTTTCCGCCCACACTTTCCTCCATATTGTGCCTTCCTCCGACCCATGCGGACCCCGGGGTCATCCCCCGAAACACCGTTTGGCTCGCCGACTCAGTGTCATCCGTTTGCTTATTTTCACATTGTCCCATTCCAGCGCTCCTCTGCCTCCATCCTAGAGCGTGGCTTGTGTGCTTCCTCACACCCTGTATCCTGTGCAGTGCTGCAGCTTCCGTCCTTGTGCTACAAGCTATTACCACAGGTCTTGCCCTGCTTTAGAACTACGTTGATCCATTAGCATTATTTGGACTCCGGTTTGGTTGTTTTGTTGTTTTTTTTTTGTTTTTGGTTTTTTTCTTTTCATTTGCATATGTGGGGGTTTTTTTTCACTGCCCGTTTAAGACCGCTGTTACTCCTTTTTTCTTTCCTGGGATACTCTGTAATGCTATCTTGGCCTTTCCTAGCTGATGTTTGTGTTGTACAGTTTCAGGGATGCTTAATTTTACTCTAAAAGACCGAATGAGCGGTATTTTTGTTACAAAGAGTTTCTAGCAGCAGGGACGATGTGTAACCGCTATACCTAACCACATGTTTGCATACTAGGGTGACGTGCAAGGACACCTGGCAGCACGCATTCAAGGAATGCTGAATGTCTGCTTGTCTGGTGAATTATGACTGATGTGTTGAAGTTGCAGTGAAAATATTAATTGCAGTGCTGTAGCTCTCTGCAGCTGAGGTGTCTTTCAGACTGTTAGATTATAGGTGGGAGCTCCAGCGTCACGTGTGTGACAATTGTGCTGCATGTTTCTTGCAAATCCGACTGGGTGAAATGCCTGTGACAGAATATACATACTGCTAGAGTGTTAATAATTCACGTTTGTGGATGTAATAGAAAGCATTCAGCTGGAGGGCACTACTGTATTATGTGTTTTGCATTGTGGGTTTTGTCATGTGCAGGGATATATGAAAATCGTGAAAAATCATTCTGCTGTAGACAGCTCAGAAGCCAAACCACTGCATTTAATGTGCTGTAAATGTGTTTTAATGCAGTTGCAGCAAAAAGAGGAAAAGATATAAGAGGGAAGAGTGCTTGATATTGCATCTGCAGTGCATATTTAAAGCTTAAATGAAAGGGCAGGAAAATCTTTAGGAGGGCTTGAAGAAGATAAACCAGTACAAACAGGTTTGAAGATTGCTTTCCAGCCAAAGTGGAATGTCATTCCTTATATAGTGTTGTCATGTTATTTTTCTTTTCCCAGAATGCCTAAATCAAAGGAACTTGTATCTTCAAGCTCATCTGCCAGTGATTCAGATAGTGAAGTTGACAAAAAGGTGAACAATACATACAATTCATTACTGTATTAACTCTTTTGTTTCAGGCTTGGGTTAAGGAATTAGGTGAGCATTATGCCACAACAAGCATGTCATTCCGTATCATTTATCAGACACTTTAAGAAACTTTCTCTCCCACCCACTCATCTCAACAACTGCAACAACAAAAACCAAACAATCCACCTTCCAAGTATGGGTGGATTGCACAATTTTTTCCCTGAAGGAAAGTTTTTTCCTTCAGTTGCACTTTGTTTTCTTCATGCCATTCCATATGATAATTGCAAATTCCCTGTGATTCTTTGCTGCTTTGTGGCAAGCTTCTGAATGCTTCTGTATCAACTGCTTTGGTGGGAAGAATTTGAACTTGAGAACATGCCTACAGCCACCCTCTGCCATTTTAATATATGGATTACTTCTCCATGACAAAAATCTGCGATTGCCCTGTGCTCATTGTGTCAGTTGCTTACTTGTTTGCATGGGTTTTTTTCTCTGCTTAATTTTCTTTTATTTGCTGTTACACCATGTGCTAGTTTCTCACTTAGAAGCTAAGCCAAGCTGAGTGTCTTTGAGTTGGTAAATTTTAAGATGATTGTTGTAAATGTATAAATCAAATGTTTCCATTTAATTTAAATATTTAAGTTAGAAGTTTGTGTAGATGTATCAGTCATTTTGAACAAAAGCAAAATGATTGTAGAAATCAAAGTGATTTAGAAAAAAACCAGTTAATTTATCTTTTTAAAGAAATGATAGGTGGCAACACAGACACCAGGTGTTTTAATGTAGTACAATACATCGAGAGATCTGGTCTCCTATTTTTACATGAGTAGAAATAGCAACTTTGTAGCTTCTTTGTGTTATCTGATTTACAGGTGATATGGTCTGAATGCTTTAAAATGTCGCATAATTTATCGTGCTGTGGGCAGCAGTTAGATGCTTAGTAAAAAAACTGGTCTCTGGTAGATGTGGTTTCCAGATTTTTTATTATCTTATTAGTTATCTTAATAAATAATTTTTCTGCATTATTGACTATCTTATCTAGGTGTTCTTTTTTGGTTTTTTTTTTTTTTTGGAGGCCTTGCAAGCTATGCTGTTCTATACTTTTTGTTCCATTTAGGGGAGAAGAGGGCGCCATTTCCATCAGACTTAATTTTTTTATTAAAACTATTGAACTGACTGTGTTACTGTGCAAAAAGAGAAGGATTTTTGAAATGTATTTTGATGTGATTAAATTCTCTTCAAAGCCAAAGTGTTACTTCACTGAGAACAGAATCAGGCTCATTTTGAAGTCTTTAAATTCCAGCCTAAATGTACAGTGTTGAATTCCTGCCTTCACAGCAAGAAGGTGATGAAGTGCATTGCTTGGTAGTAGGCTGTGATATACAGTGTAAACTTATCTGTAGCATACAGAGTGATTGTGGCTCATGCTTTTCTTTTTTTTTTTTTTTTTGTTTTACTCCAAGGCAAAGCGGAAAAAGCAAGTAACTCCAGAAAAGACTGTAAAGAAACAAAAGACTGGTGAAAGTTCAAAAGGTGCAGCTTCTTCTAAGCAAAGCAGTAACAGAGATGAGAATATGTTTCAGGTAAAATTGATGACTCATAGAGCCTGGTTAAGGTAACATGTTACATCATATGCTGTATAAATTTTACGAGGTGATCTGAACTTTCTGACAGTGTAGTGCTTGGCCTCCTGGAATCCTTGGCCGAAGGGGATTATGAGGCTGGCGTTCAGATGCGGTGCTCAGAAAAGCCTGGTCTGGTTTCAACAAGAGTAAAAGAATCTGCTTTGTATCAATTGATCTAATTCTCATGACTTAGAGAGAGCTGAGCACTTGCTATCAGTATACTTGAAATATTAGATCAGGTTTTTCTCTTCATGGAAATGTTTTTTTAATTAGGGCTCTTGAAAAATATGTTCTTGGAAACCAAAATGTGGACTCTTCGTTCCTATTTAACTAGGTCAAGGGCAGCTTGGCCTCCTGTGTTATTACAGCATCTTGGAATAAGTTTTGTTTATGTTATGATGTAGGATCTTATCACTGAACATCCATAAAGATAGTAACTTGTGGTATTGCCTGTTTTTAAGATGGGATGAATGTCTCTTTTTCAACAGAAAGATGCATTTGTTAATTCAGGGTATTGCAGTTCCCAGGGCTAGCCAAGGCAGTAGCAGTGTGTGCTGAGGGTTGATACACAGCTTAGAATTAGCTGTTTTGGGGATGTGGATCAAGATCTATTAAAGGTCTCTGACTAGCTGGCTGGAAAGGAACTGAAATTCTTGGGCCTTTGAGTCTCAAGTTTGTGAAAGGGTATGGGAAAGGTGCCTAGTGAGATGACTGAAGCACAGAGTAATGTAAATGAAATGCTTCTGGTCTGCAGCAGTGTGAAGTAGTACAGGGGAAGAAAAGTCTGTTCTAGAGAGAAGACCTGCTTAACTGATACTGCCATGCAGAGCAGTTATTTTTAATGTCCACGTTCTTACTTTTTCAGTTATGTTTAGAAGGGAGAACTTTGCTTGAAGGCTGTGTCTAAGCTTCTGTATTGAAGGAAGTGTATAATATTTTTAGTTCTCTTTGGACATGCTTTGAACCCTGTAGGAAAAATGAAATAGTGAATTTTACAACTTAGTAAGTGAACTGCAGGTAGAACTCTAAAGAATTGTGTATAAACTTAAAGCTATGTTTGTAGTAAGTTTAGAAATTCTAGTTGCTATGGTTGTCATATGTTCAGAAATTCCAGCCTTGGAGAAAACTTAAAAATTTTTAGTGCCCCTGATGCAAAAATGCACCCAAATCCTTTCAAATAAAAGCGAAAGTATGCATGCTCTGGTTTCTTGAAACCTCTTCGACCTAAGATAATAAAAAGTTACTAAAAACAGACAGTGGAGGATTCACATTACTCTGATAAGAACAAGGTTCTGCTGGTGTCGAGTAGAATACAGATCTTTAAATATCACCTTGACCTAAAATACCAGCATTACCCAGTCTGTGCCTGCCTTTGAAGTAATCAACAATAAAATATTTTGTAGATTACTCATTGTGTTGTGGTGAAGCATTGTCAGTTTTTGTAGTCTACATAAACTTCTGTGCAGTAACTAACATGCAGATATTAAACTATAGAAGTAAAACTACAGTGGGTCTGAGGATACTCCCCCTTCTTCCCCCCCCTATCCAGGAGGGCATGCTCGTTAATTTTTTAGATCTAGTTTTGTTTGTTCTAGGCGTCTTGATACTAAAAACCTTTCTGGAGAGCTTCTTTCTCAAGGCAGTAAAATGATCTCTGATGTGGAAGTGACTTTGCAGTATAGCTTTACAAGAGGGGCTTTAGCTGATGGAAATCGGGCTGTAAAGCATTCATAGGGTAGTCACAAGTTCTGTGATGTCCATATTGTGTGTGGGAGTGGCTGCAAATGTGAAACCAAGAGTCTTCTTGGTTCTACACCCTCAGGCTGTGTTCTTGAAGCATACAGATTCCCTTAATATAGAGCTCATTGTGACTTCTGTAGTTTTCATAAATATGTACATTTTATATTTTTGTTTGAAATTGTTGGTGTAATTTTTTTGCAACTACTTAAAAGAAGGTTTTAATGTAAGGAGAAGACAATTTGTTCAGTGTAAGAGACAAGGTGTATTCTATGTATTTGCATGTCTTTGCCTTATTAGATTTTATAGGGAACCTGGTATACTCTGGAACTTGATGAAGGATTTGTGTGCTGTTAGGATGCAGAAATTTATGTTACTCCCATGTGTGATGTATTACTGGAGGCCCTAAGGACAGGCATAATTTGTGTTAACATGGGAGGGTTTAGCCTTGCTGCATTAGATTCCTGTCTGTGGCTTGAAGCCAACCTGAGCTCTGCACCATGTACTTTGGTTAGTTTGACTAATCCTATTATCTACCTATGCCTGATTTGGATAAGGTTTGTCAGGATTCATTAATGGCTACCCAGAGCAGAGCCACATGGCATGATCATGCATTTAACTGAAATTGTTATTTCAGAAGTTTTCTCTGTGTTTTCTGTCCACTTCCCAACTCCTTTTTTTTTTTTTTTTGTTTTTTTGAGTTTTCATCATACTTGGGCTTTGACTTTTGAGGCATTAAGTTCTTTGATTTTTCCAGTATAGTCTCCCAGTGTCCTTATCATAGACTCCTGAAAGAAGGTAAACATAGAAATTTATGATGCTCTGAAACTGTTACTGGTTTAGGATACTAATTACAAAACTTAGGTGGTCACCGATGCATTTCACAATTTGCTTTGCTGCAGATGTTACAGTTCACAGGACTCCTGTGCTCCTTACTTATGGTTATTGGCTAGGGCAGAGGATTTTCTGCTGTTTATGCTTGCTCTGTGGGTGTACGGCTTAATCCAGAGAAACTGAAATTAAGAAAAAGGATGAAGAAGGTGCTTCTGAAACGCACAGAGGAAGTCTATTGCATATCTCTGAAAGGAACAGAGATACATTCAGTGCTTTTTATTCTAAGAAACAGAAACCAGGAAATAATGGTTTTAATGTTTTCTGATTTATTTAAGTCAGTAGAGTAATATAATCTAAGGATCTGTGCTATTTAATAAAAAGTATATGAACTTCTCTGTGAAGCTTGAACTGCACTAAGTACTCGGCTATAAATCATGATAACTGTCATGGTTTAACCACAGCCAGCAGCCAAGCCCCAGGCAGCCACTTGCTCACACCCCCATCAGTGGGACTGGGAGAGAACTGGAAGGGTAAAAGCTGGAAAACTCGAGGGTTGGGATGAAGACAGTTTAATAGAGAAAGCAGAAGCCACACATGCAAACAAAACAAGGAGTTAATTCATCACTTCCCATGGGCAGGCAGGAGTTCAGCCATCTCCAGGAGAGCAGTGCCCACCACATCTAAGTGTCACTTGGGAAGACAAATGTCATCATCATGCCCAGCGTGCCCCCTTCCCTCCTCTTCCCTCCCCTTTCTACCCTGAAGGTGATGTCACAAGGTCTGGAATGTGCCTTTGGTCAGCTGGGTTCACCTTTCCCGGCTGTGTCTTCCTCCCACTCTCCCGAGCACCCCCAGCCTCCCCGCCACGCTGGCGGGGGAGAAGCAGAAGAGGCTTTGGCTCTGTGTAAGCTCTGCTCAGCAGCAACTGAAACATCTCTGTGTTAGCATCACTGTGCTCAGCACAAAGCCAAAACACAGCCACACATCAGCCAGTGTGAAGAAAACAAATTCTTCTCAGTACAGCAACTCTTAGAATACTGCTCTGGTTATAGAGACAGAAAAATCACTGGAATTACTCTTAACTTTATCGGCAGGTGCATGAAAAAAGGAATATTCAGAAATTAACCTGTATCAGAATTACAGGTAGCTAAGTATCAAGGAACATTAATTTACTTACTTAACGAGTTAAGTCTAAATTTTGTTTGAGTGTAGATGTTTGGAACTGTACTTTAGAAGCCTGCTTAATAATTTTAGTAGTGGCAGCTTTTGCATAGAATTCAACTAAATATCTGAAATTCATTGGGAACATTAATCTGAAATCTTGATGTGATGTGAAGTCTAACTTAATTTCAGCATTTACATAGAGAAATGCTTTTATCTAAGATAGACTTCATGATTTAGTGTAAACTTAGCATTATTGCCCCTCACCTTACTGTAGTTGAATTAAGACAGAATCTTTCTTATCCTTGAAAATGATATTCTAAACCCTTCTACTGTACTTGCAGCTGTAATCTGCTCTGTTGAATTAGATTTTATTTTTTATAACAAATCTGACAAGGCACTAATATTCTTCAGTAGCCATGGAAAAAAAAGGTGCTGCAGAGTGCTACTGGTTGAAGCTGTTCCTGGAGGTGACCTTATAAGTTACTGGAGCATTAAAGGGTAAAACTAAGAAATGTTGTCCATGTAGGCTATTTAGGGTATTCTTTGCCAGGAATGCAGATGGACTTGGGCATGGTAGCAGGTTTGGTCTGAAAGAGCTAAGCTGCCATAACATTACAGGAATTTTAATTCTGTATTGTAACTTTATACATTGAAAATACTGTCTTATGAACAGTAATGTCTTATTAATTTTAAAGGATGCTTTGAAGTAGAAGTGCTTCAGAATTACATTAATTGTTCTAAAATGAATTTAGATGTTATATAGCATCTGCAGAAAAAGAAAAAATCATGTAAGCAAAGATAAAGTATTCATGTTTGTATCTATTTTGTGAAATGAGAGGATATGACTTAAACATCTGTGAATTATTGTAGTTGGTTGGAGAGTTCTTCAGTCTTACAGGTCAAACTTAATTCTAGTGGTTTTGGGCCAGAAGTGTAGGGCCCATCCTTAAATTGTATCAAAATGCAACATGGAGAGATAAAGGAAGTTGAAATTGAAAGTTAGTGTTTTACCAGGAAAGAATGCTTTATTTTAAAATTGTGTACTTTAGAATCTGTTCTTTTTTATATAAAATGTATCCAGAAGATATATGCAGAATAAAAAGGATTTCTTAGAATTGCAAGAAGTTTTACTTGATTATGTTTTAATTATATATTTTCTGGTTCTCAGATTTATGTTGTACTTGGATTTTATCTGAATAGATAGATTTTTATCATGTTTGGGAAGATATTGAATAAGCCCAAATTCAGAGTGTATTGCATAGTTGGTAGTATGATTCTTCCCCAACTTCTCCCCATTCCCTGTCCCCCCCCCCAGAAAAAAAGAGGTACTCTTGTAATTCAGTTGTGACACTGATTTGAAAATTATGGAATTCTAAAGTCCAAGTTCCAAAATTTTGTACTGTGCTACATACTGGTAAACTTAAAAGATTTGACTGTTCTTTTGAAGAGCTGGTGGTACAGTCAAGTGCCCATGAAGACTTGGGAGTGTGTGTGGGACAGTTGATGACTAATTTTCATTTCCATCTGTATTTACTGTGTTAAAAGAAAAGGGGGGAAGGTATCACATGTGAATATCTTAATTTGCTTTCTGAACTTGTGGAATGGACTAAAACTTAGATTTGGGAGTATTGCTCCCTTTGTCCTTCTTTGTTTAGAACTTTTGCAAAGGAAGTAATTTTTTTCAGAAAACAATAAATTCACGACTTGCTAGAAGCAAGTATGTAAAGAATACATGTATTTTTATTCTGGGAGAGCTACTTTTGCTTTGAGCATTGCCTGCTCAACCAGTTTTAAGTCGTTACTTATTAGCCTACTGACTACTCTGAATTAAGCTTTTAATCTAGTTGTTTCTGTGGCATCTAAAATAAGCTGCAGTGTGACATGTCAGAGTCTAATGCTGCTGGGGAAAGTGAATGCTCTAATATGTAAAATACCTAATAGACCCTTATATGTTTTGACAGATTGGCAAAATGAGGTATGTCAGTGTTCGAGATTTTAAAGGGAAAGTCTTAATTGATATTAGAGAATACTGGATGGATCAAGAAGGTGAAATGAAGCCTGGCAGAAAAGGTATTGTTCTGCTTCATGTTACTTTGTATTGAAACATGGTCTGCACTTTGCAGTAGAATTTCCTATATAATATTTTTCTCCTTTGTTGCTGCATTATACTTACTGAGTATTATTTTCACTTTCTTATGATTTGTGTTTTCACAAAGAATTAGTTTTATCTGTAGGTTATGGATAAAATCTTAAGTGAGTCTGTTTTCCTAAAGAGATCCTCCATGATTTATGGAAAGCAAGATGTCAAATACAAGCAAATTTGGTAGGGGAGTTATAAACATATTTACACCATTGCCATATTTCTTCTCCCCCCACCCCCAGTGATTAACTTCATGAACTGAATTTCCTCTTATGGTTGGATTTCTTTTTTCAGAATTAGCTGAAAACATTTAATCATTTTCATAAGATTTTAAATTTTATTAAACCAACCATGTCCTTCAGCTTCTACTAAATTTTAGATTAAAATAATCTAAACATTTAATGTGACTGATTGTTAAAAATTGTTAAAAATGTTTTAGTAGAAGGAGAAATATCTCAAGTGTCCCAAGTTTGTAATCTGTAGCACAGCACAAGCCATTGTACTTCTAGTTGCCCCTTGTACTGTTGCTTTTCATGGCAAGCCTTCACTGTGTACCATTTTCAGAACTTCCACATCTCAAGATGAGGATTGTAGGCAGTGCTGGTGCTCTGCTTGATGTTATATTGCTTCTCTTTGAGAAGCCCACTTTTTATCTATTTTCATATAGCATCAGTGAAAGGTAAGTATGAAATGTTCTGCCCTGGAGATTCACAGAATGACAGAGTGGTTTGAGTTGGAAGGAACCTTGGAGATCATCTCATTCAACCCCACTCCCTGCTGTGGGCAGGAACGCCTTCCCCTAGACCAGGTTGCTCAGAGCCTCATCCAGCCTGGCCTTGAGCACTTCCAGGCATGGGTCATCCACGTTTTCTGGGCAACCTGTGCCAGTGCATCATCACACTCAGAGTACAGAATTTCTTCCTAATACCCACTCTAAATCTATCCACTTCCATTCTACCCACCCCCATTCCTCCCTGTCCTGTCACTACATGCTGTTGCAAAAAGTCCTTTCCCAGCCTTGTGTACTGGCAGGCTGCTAAGCTTGAAGAAATCTAATGTACAATCACTGTAAGGTTTGTTACATTCTTCTGGTGTGTTCAGTAGCAACTCAGTAAGCAGTCATTTAGAAAATTTGAGAAGCATTTTCAACATTGCTTAAATAACCACTGAGAATAGGTTTGCATTAATAGCTATACTGGTGCTCTGCAGGAAAATTGCTAGTTTTGGATTTGTTGCTAGTTAACAGAAAAGGTTACTTTAACTTCTAAGGACTTCATGTTCTGTGTTTCAAGGTAGAATTCAATAGTATGTGCACTTAGAATGGCAAACAACAGGATTTGATGGGTGGGCCAAGTGACAAAAATGAGAGGATATAGATAGAAGTGTTCATCAATGCAGCAGGAGTCTGAATTTTGTTATGATAAAAATAATCTGATACAATATGTGAGTCTAATGTTCCCTTGATGCACTCATAAGCTGCTTATCTGTCTGTCTGTCTATCTATCTATCTATCTATCTATCTATCTATCTATCCTGAAACCAGTGTAAGCAGTCAAAATTTTGTAATAGAACAAAAATAAACCCAGCAGTTTAAATTACTGCCAGTGTCTTAAATAGCAGGTCTGAATTTTGTTTGGTTCATCTGAAACCTGCCCTCCAAAGACTGGTGGAAGACTGCTTAGAGAAGCCCCACGTACACAACTTGCTGTTTTAAATTGTGATGGTACTCTGATAAGACAGTGATGGAAAAGAAAAGGCTATGTGCTCCAAAAATGGAATTCAAAGTTTCAGCTGTTTTCAGGTCCTGCTCTACCTTCAGACAGAAAGCAATGAAAGAAAGCTATCACTGGGAGAGGAGGGTAGGAATAATTAGTAGGAAGAGCTTGACAGGAAAAAAAGAGAGATGACTGGGAGCCCTGGGAGCCTGCACTTTCCAAAGAGTGGTTCTAGAAATTTTTGGGTAAGAATGAGTAGACCAAAGCACAGATGAAACATATGCTTGAGGGGAAGATGAGATCAAATTCAGAACTGAAATAATGGTTTGTGGAGTACTGAATGATTATTGGTTGAGTGTCACTAGACGCTGTAGAGAACTTGAAGTAAAAAGTAACTTAGGTGTTGGTTTGTGAGTGCTAGGGAGTGGTAGAGAGGGAGTCTCTCCAAAAGGCTCCTTACAGCACCTGCTATTTGTAGTACTTTAAGAAACAAAAAGGGGAAATTCCCCCCCAGAAATACAGTAATGGAAAAGTGCACAGCAGACCTGTCTGCATAGGTACAGCTTGTAGGAGCCAACAGGAATAGAAATTATTTCCTTCTTCTCACCCAGGACATTTGTACTGCCTTCTGTCAAGGCCAGAGTTTTGTTTCACTTCTTGTTTTTAACCTAGTACTTGTACAATTATGTTACACACATTTTTCTTTGTAAACTTGTCTAGAAACGACCTGAAGTTCAGTTGAAGCTTTGGAAGTGGGTAGTTTCACTTTGTAACTAAGATGGTTGTTGAAGTAACTCAAATATTAATGGTATAACAGAGGCTTAGTGTATGAAAACAGCCTTTATAATAATGCACAAGATCTTGCATCACAATTTTCTTTTTGGCTTAAGTGTTTATTTTTAATGCTTTTCAGGTATTTCTTTAAATCCAGAACAGTGGAACCAGCTGAAGGAACAGATTTCTGATATTGATGATGCAGTAAGAAAACTCTAAAGACAGAGCCATACAAAAACTTATATCATTTAGTTGTATTAAGCAGTCTTTTTACATTGGCTTTAGTTTTCTAAAATATTGTTTTCCAAGCTATTGTATATTTGGATTGCAAAACAATTTGTAAGATGAATACTTTTTTTATGTGCATTAAAAGTGTATTCTGAGTGAGGCTATTTGTGTATACTTTACTAAAAGGAATTGTGTTGCTTTCACCCCATGGTGTAAAATAAACAAATTAAGTAATATGTAAAGCATACTTGTTTATGGCCTTTTGATTCAAGGAGTTTGCTGATAAGGCCACCTAATAGCTTTAGTAGTTGTTTTAATTTCAGTTTAGTTTACAGTAAATATTCATTTGTTTGATGAGGGGATTTCTTGAAATGTCTCAAGTTCACTTTTTCTTTTACTCAATTTTCTTTGGTATTGCCCTGCAGCTTTCTGCTTTAAGACTTGATACAAACAGTGAATACTTGGAAAAACACATTTTTGTAGATAATTTTCAATACTGTGTTTGCTAATTTACCCTACTTATTCAGATGTTAACAGTCTTGAATATATAGCTTTTTTTGCATTTCTTGCATGAAGCATTATGGTAAACAATAACACTTGAACAGAAAACACATGCTCTCTCTTCCCATTTTTCTATAGCTTGCTTGACCTACAAAATACAAGTAGCCTTTTTTCTGGACTTTAGATGTGAAACATTAACTTCTACAGTAATAGACATATACCTCAGAGTAAGACAGTATTTAAAGGCTCCAAATGTGGTTATTAGTTAGAACACTTTTCCAGGTTTGCATTAAATTCATTCTGGAACGCATAATCAGTTATGGAAAAGGAATGATTTACCTGTCTGTAGGGTTTTCATTCATTTGAAAGTATTGCATAAACAATGATGCTTAAATTAGACTGTAATACAGGTTAAGCAATCAAACAGGGTTAAAACTGCTGCAGCCAAAATGTCTGTCTGTCTGTCATGTTTCTGCCTCACGCACGCTCTGCCCAGGCCTCGGGGTGCTCCCTGTGGCTCCTGTGTGCAGGGCTGGTTGATCTCTCTGCGGAAGGTGCTTAGAGCGCCCAGGGGGATTACCCGGTACACGGCGCACCATGACCCAGCAAGCTTGGCTGGTCAGCCCCAGTACCCTGGACAGAAAAGCCTCTGCCCCATGGAAGCTCTGTTACACAAGATGCTGCCCTGGAGGAAGGGCTTCTGGGTGATGCCGAGTCACTAACAACAGAAGGGAGAAGGGAGAATGTGATGGGAGAATTTGGAGATGTAAGGGGCACACCAGGGTGGAAGTTAATGGTGCAAGATGAAAGTTAGCTGGCATAAAATAACTACAGTGAAGAAATGGAAGCAGAATTGGAGGAGTTAATTTTCTGACATAATTAAGCAAAGCAAGAAGATAAAACAGCTTTATGAAAAAGAACATTTAAAAACTGGTGAATGTCCAACTTAATTAGTCTATGTGTAATTTTCCCATTTGATAATAACAGAGTCTCTAAATTTTGTATAGATAAGCAAGAGTTACTGTTTGTTTAGTTAAAGAACATTTTGATATATTTGTTTATATTGCAGACATGATTGTAAGTGCCATATGCTGTTTATGTGCTGCAGAGTTCATAATTCAATGCAAATCGGTATTAAAGGCTGAGGAAAAGAGACTTCATCAAATTAAGTGCATGTTGTTTAGTTTAAATATGTCACATATCTCCAACTGATTTTTAACTTACCCACTGTTGATATATTACAAATAAAATTTAAATCTGTTTTTGTATAGCTCAAGAAATCTTATGTTTTTTAGAACTGGTTGAGGGTGAATAAAAGGGTGAGGAGATGTTTGTGATAGCAGATGTGGTTTTGGGCACAGCATTCTTTTTTGAGTGTCTCTTAACAGCATATAGGGCTATTTGGACCAAATAGAATAAATATGAAATAGCTGCTAAAATTTCACAGATGAGTGAAATAAATTGCTTCAGATCCCTATAGACCGGTTCTAGGTTGTTTTTATTGTAATATATATATAATGTGATTTTGTTCCTTTAAGTCTGAAATTTTGCAACCAGATTTCATGCATTTTACCTCAGAACTTTGAAGTGGCTACTTAAAAGTGCATAGTTATATTAGAGGGAAGATTGTCCTCACTTTGATTACTGTGCTAATAGGTCAATTGTGTTCAGGAAGATGGGAAATTAAAATCATTCATCTGGGGAGATTGAGTGAAAAGGTTTATTATAGCGATTAGTTTTCATGTGGAAGTTGATGGTGGAGGTATTCAAAGAAATTAGTACTTGTTAACCACAAACTATTAGTTATTAGTAGATATCAAGAGACAAGTCAGTTTCACAAATGAACTCAAAATGGGATGACTTGATCTGTCTTGTAAGATGGTAATATGCAAGTAACCTCTATAAAAGTGTGACACATTCAGTATTATTTGGAAATAAATGCTAATGAATTGTCATGTAATCATCTGTAGCTTCTCTTAATTTGAGAAGAAAATGAAAATCTTTTTTGACTAAAGATTATTTTTTGCAGACAGTGTTAGCTAGGATGTATGTTGAAGTATCCATGGAAGAAAATTGTGCATGTATGATGAGGCTGTCTAATGCAAGATAAAAGCACTGCTCCCTTCCCATTTAGGTGATGAAAGATACATTTGATTCTTAGTGTTTATGCAGGGCATATTAGCAATATGTTTTATAAATAAGGCCTACTGTGGAGCTTAGGGGAAAAAACACATCACAGAACTGCCAAAGTACTGTATATGTGATAATCAAACTGTCATGTATCATGTTGCTCGTATGTATAGATGTTCATATTGAAAATAAACAAATGCAGTACTAACTTTGGTATTTCTTCTAAAGAAGATGGCCCTGGTTATGTATGTATGTGATCTGTTAGCAAAAAAAAGTTGATGATTGTAATTCTGGTAACTCAAATGTCTTATTGTTCGTCATGTGGAATGTTTCATGTTTTGCTCTGGTGGTGTCCAATGCAGAGAGGCCATTGGAAATAGAGCCCTTCAACTGTAATTACCTTAATGTTAAATAAAAAATGGTTAAATGGCATATGTGTAATAACAATTTGAACACTTGGAAATAAAAAGACTTCTGTTGACATAGTGTTATTTTTAATAGAATTTTAGCTGCACTATAATGTTACAGTACTTGCTGTTTCTTGCAGCTGTTGTAATTTGGAAATTTGGAAACTTCATTATCTTATATTTGGTCTGTGTTTGTGGGTAGGAGACTGATTGTGTAGCCCAGAGGGATAGAAATTTTTCACTAGGATATGAAAAACAAGTGTCATGTAAATACAGAAGCAGCAGATACAAACACAGTTTCAAACATCAGCCTGGAGGAAAGTGCCTGGTAAGTCGTTACTGTTATGAGATTGGCTGATTATCTTTTCAGTGGAGTTTCTCTTTGACTGTAAATGTTGCCACAGATGAGGTAGAAAAATCTCATGCATTTATTATCATTGGTCAGTTATGTCTGCATAGGCTTCTTCAGGAAGGTTATTTATTACAACAACCTGAGTGGGTTGCTGGGGGTGAGAGAATGACGAGAATCTTGTTTCTTGATCAGAAGGCTGGATTTATTGATATATGATATATAATACATTATGACTATACTAAAGAGAATATAGAGAGAAGTTGTAGATGCTGCTAAGCTAAGCATAGAAAGAAAGAATCTATAACAAAGTTGTATCCAGGGACTCTGTCCCCAGCTTGCTCCTGTGATTGGCCCTTAATTATAAACAAGGGAACATGAACCAATCACAGGTGCATCCTATTGCATTTCACAGCAGCTGATAATCATTGTTTACATTCTTCTTCTGGGGCCCTTTGCTTCCCAGAAGATAAACAACCCCAAAGAAAGGATTTCTGTGAAAAAATGTCTGTGACAGTTATTTATTTTTCACACACTTGAAGCGACTGATCTGTAGGGGGTGGATTAATTAGTGGACCATAGCCTTGAACCTATCAGACTTTTCTTCAAGTAATTTTGCATAGTTTAGCCAGAGAAACAGAAGTAACTCTGGCTCAAAGGGAAGAAATGGTGTGAGGGACTCAAAGGAGGGTCATCATGTCCTCCCTAATGTTCATTCACTGCCCTCCCCTTACTGGTGGGGCTCATCTCTAGCTCCAGTGACTGCACGGAAGAGCATTCCAGTAGGCACTGCTTGTCCTCTGGTGAATCAAGGCTGTGCGTCCCCTGCTCGCAGTTACATAGAAGTGTGAAAACATCTCCAGGGAAACAGAGGTAGATCGTCCTTGGCTTAATGATGGTTTATCAAGGAAGCTTAATTCTGCTGCCATGTGAGCTGAAGGACATGCTGCCAGTCATGGGGGTACTCTAAGAGCCTGGCATCTGTGCCCGTGGTATTATTGCACTTGGTTTAACAAAAATGTAACTTTTTATAAGATCTGCCTGATTGGTGTTTTTTTTTTTTTTTTTGGGGGCACTTCCATTCTGGTTTCAGTGATTTCATACACTCATCATTGATCAGATGTCTAAGGAGCTAGGGATTGAGGTTGTGTTGAGGACTCAGGTTTTTAAAAGTTACCTGTTTGAAGGAGATGAGCTCTCCATCTTAAAGGTTAAAGGAGCTTACTGTAGAATGGCAAGCTGGTGCAATTAGCAGACTGTTCCAGGAAATCTCTAGCTGTATTTGATAAGGCTAAAAAAGAAGAACATGGCCTGCTTGATCAGCATGCCTGGTAGACTGCTGTTATCAGCACTCACTTGGGGAGGAATTAATGAGATGAAAACTGTTGAAGTTTTCATCAGAAAGAAATGGTAAGATTTTACATAACCCTGTTTATGTTTTCTAAAAAAGGTGTTTCACACCTTAAGAAATGAATTGCTTTATGCTTTCACTAATAACCTAATGTGTCAGGATGATTTTTACACTGTTGAGAACAAAGCTCATTTCAACTTAGTTCATCTTAAACCTCAGTTTATCTATTCACCAAAATAGCCTCACACCCCAGATCTGAGAGAGAGGTGAATGATGGTATATTAAGAACAAATTTGAGATTGTCATTACAGTAACAACTGACTGCTTGAAATTAAAGCTAGGCAGTGTATATTGCAATATAGTTTTCAGTGTGTTTGTGGCATTGATTTTATGTAACATTTTAAGGTTTTTGCTAGCTGTATCAATGTGAAATGGCATTGCTGTTTCCTCTGCTTTACATTTGCCACGACTTACTGAGATCTGCAGCTCCTTTTGTATTTCCTCTGCTC